CTACATCTCTGCAGCTATCCTCCCTCTCTCTCTTGTCTCACCAATATCCCCATGCCTCCTGGATCTTTCTGCTTAGTCTCCATGTAGTGTTACTTCTTCCATCTTAATTTTTTTTTTCTTTTCTTTTTTTCTTTTGAGACAGGGTCTCATTCTGTCACCCAGGCTGGAGTGCAGTGGTGCAATCATAGCTCACTGTAACCTCCAACTTCTCGGCTCAAGCCACCTTCCCACCTTGGCCTCCTAGATAGCTGGGACTATAGGCACGCAGCACCATGCCTAGCCAATTTTATTTTTTCTTTTTATAGAGACAGGATCTCACTATGTGGCCCGCACTGGCCTCAAACTCCTGGCCTCAAGCGATCCTCCTGCCTCAGCCTCTCAATGTGCAGGGATTACAGGCATGAGCCACTGAGTCTGGCCTCTTCCACTTTTAAAAACATAAAACCTTATCTCCTGTCCAGCTGCTGCTCACTCATTTCCTTCCCTTTTCCGCAAGATTTCTCAAAAGAATCATCTACATTGCTGCCTCCAATTTCTCCTCCCAGTTTCCTCTTCTGCCTTCTCCAACCAGCCTTTCCCCCATACTCCTCTCGGCTGACATGCCCTTGTCAAGGTCACCCACGCACTCCACAGTGCTGGATCTAATGGTCACACCTCAGTCCTCCTTAGCCACATCTGACACAGCCCATCACTCCCTGTTCCCTGAAACATCATCTTCACGACACCACACTGGTTCTGTTTCTTTTCTTTTCCTTTTTTTTTTTTTTTTTTTGAGACAGGGGTCTCGCTCTGTCACCCAGGCTGGAGTACAGTGGCACCATTTCAGCTCACTGCAACCTCCACCTCCTGGGTTCAACCGATTCTCTCACCTCAGCCTCCCAAGTAGCTGGGATTACAGGCATGAGCCACCGCAGCCAGCTTTTTTTTTTTTTTTTTTTTTTCCTTGAGATGGAGTCTCTCTCTGTCGCCCAGGCTGGAGTGCAGTGGCACAATCTTGGCTCACTGCAACCTCTGCCTCCCGGGTTCAAGCAGTTCTCCTGCCTCAGCCTCATGAGTAGCTGGGATTACAGGTGCATGCCACCACAACCAGCTAATTTTTGTATTTCTAGTAGAGATGGGGTTTCATCATGTTGGTCAGGCTAGTCTTGAACTCCTGACCTCGTGATCTGCCTGCCTCAGCTTCCCAAAGTGCTGGGATTACAGGCATGAGCTACGGCGCCTAGCCATATTTTTGTATTTTTAGTAGAGACAGGGTTTTACCATGTTGGCCAGGCTGGTCTGGAACCCTCCCATGGGCCAGACACAATGGCTCATGCCTGTAATCCCAGCACTTTGGGAGGCCAAGGCAAGAGAATTGCTTGAGACCAGGAGTTCAAGACCAGCCTGGGCAACATAGCAAGACCGTGTCTCTACAAAAAAATTTTAAAAGTAGCCGGGCATGGTGGCATGTGTCTGTAATCCCAAGTACCAGCTACTTGTGAGGCTAAGGTTGGGAAGATCACTTGAGTCCAGGAGTTTGAGGCTGCAGTGAGCTAGACTGCACCACTGCACTCCAGCCCAGATGACAGAGTGAGATCCTGTCTCTAAAAAACAAACAGCAGGCTGGATGTGTTGGCTCATGCCTGTAATCTCAACACTTTGGGAGGCTGAGGTGGGCAGATCACTTGAGTCCAGGAGTTCGAGACCAGCCTGGGCAACATGTTGAAACCCCATTACTACTGAAAATACAAAACCTAGCCAGGGGTGATGGCATATGGCTGTAGTTCCAGCTACTCCAGTGGCTGAGGCAGGAGAATCGCTTGAACCCAGGAGGCAGGGGTTGCAGTGAGCTGAGGTTGTAGTTAGCCACGATCGCACCACTACAGTCCAGCCTGGGCAACAGAGTGAGACCCTGCCACACACACACACACACACACACACACACATACACACACACCCCCCCCCAACAATGACAAAAATACTAAGTTACCTGTCACCACCCCTACCCCATTGCCTCTTGGACCTTGCCCTTCATTGGCCCTCTTTTTGCTCACTCCACTCCAGCAATGCTGGCCTCTTTGTGGTTCTGTGAATGATCCTACCACATGGCCTTTGCGCTTGCTGTTTTCTCTTTCCGGAACCCCCTCTTTCTCCTTCATTCCTTCAGATTTCTGTTTCAGTCTCACCTAATGAAAGACGCCTTTCCCCATGTAAATTAACTCTGGCTGCATCACTCTATTCTCTTAGCTGCTTTCTTGTTGTTTATTTATTTGTTTGTTTATTTACAGACATAGTCTGTCACCTGGGCTACAGTGCAATGGCAAATCTCTGCTTATTGCAACCTCCCCCTCCTGGGTTCAAGTGATTCTCCTGCCTCACCCTCCTGAGTAGCTGGGACTACAGGCACGTGCCACTATGCCCAGTTAATTTTTGGCATTTTTAGTAGAGACAGGGTTTTGCCACTTTGGCCAGGCTGGTCTCAAACTCCTGGCCTCAAGTGATCCACTGGCCTCAGCCTCCCAAAGTGCTGAGATTACAGGTGTGAGTCACCATGCCCGGCCACTGCTTTCTTTTTCTCCTTGGAAAGTAACACAAAGTAACACTGTATTTCCTTATTGTTTGTGTCCCCAGGAACTAGAATATACGGGTTTTTTTTGGGTTTTTGTTGGTTTTTTTTTTTTTTTTTTTTTTTGAGATGGAGTTTCACTGTTGTTGCCCAGGCTGGAGTGCAATGGCATGATCTTGGCTCACTACAACCTCCGCCACTCGGGGTTCAAGCAATTCTCCTGCCTCAGCCTCCCAACTAGCTGGGACTACAGGCATGCGCCACCACGCTCCGCTAATTTTGTATTTTTAGTAGAGACAGGGTTTCACGTCATGTTGGTCAGGCTGGTCTCGAACTCCTGACCTCAAGTGATCCACCTTCCTTGGCCTCCCATAATGCTGGGATTACAGGTATGAGTCACCGCACTCATCCTACCGTTGTATTTTTAGCACCTTAAGCAGAGCCTGGCACATATTGGATACTCAAGAAATATTTTTTTTTTTTTTTTTTTTTTTTTTTTGAGACGGAGTCTCGCTCTGTGGCCCAGGCTGGAGTGCAGTGACGCGATCTCAGCTCACTGCAAGCTCCACCTCCTGGGTTTACGCCATTCTCCAGCCTCAGCCTCCTGAGTAGCTGGGACTACAGGCGCCCGCCACCGCGCCCGGCTAATTTTTTGTATTTTTAGTAGAGACGGGGTTTCACCGTGGTCTCGATCTCCTGACCTTGTGATCCGCCCGCCTCAGCCTCCCAAAGTGCTGGGATTACAGGCGTGAGCCACCGCGCCCGGCAAGAAATATTATTGAATGAATTAATGAACCAGCAGTTATCAAGCACAATCATTTTATACAGTGTGAAGGCTGTTGCTTAAATGCAGGAGGTAGTGGATGGGGTTTGTGACATGGCCCCACCCTGGTGAAATGGCCTTTCCTCAAAGCGTCTATGCCACACTGTCCTGGTCTTCCTCTCTCTGGCTGCCCTTTTCAATATTCATCGACAGTGTCAATTCCTTTGCTCAAATCCTGCCTCTCCGTTTCAGAGTTCTGTTCATTCCCTGTCTCCAATGATCCTTCACACCCTCCCCGCGCTAGACCCCTAACTCTCACAGCCTCAATTACCATCTTTGACGATTCTTAAATCTTGGTCTCCAGCCTCAATTTCTCTCTTAAGCTCCAGACCCGGGGTTTGTGTACCTCCTGGACCTCGCTGCTAGGCATCCACATTGGGCTTAGTATCTTCCCAACCTGCTTCTCCTCTGGGGCCCAATCTCCCGGCCAGAGGGCCTGGTTCTAAACTTTTCTCCCCCTTCCACTCCATGGCCAGCCAGTTTCAGGGCCCGTTTGCTCTGCCTCCAGGGCGTCCCTCCCACCTGCACCTCCTTCCCTCCCCACAGTCCCTCCCTTGTGCAAACCCCCCTCTTTCTTCCCCAACTCCTCCCCCAGCTGTCTTCCTGGACTCCTGACCCCGTTTCATTCCCTCCAATCCGCCCTCCATGTATAAGCCAGAGAGACAGCTCTCCAAAACCCCCGACTCACCATGATCCTCCCAGGCTTGAAGCCCTTCAGGGCTCCCTAGTGCCCTCGGGACAAGTCCAAACTCTCTCAAGTGGCCAAACAACTGGCCTCTGCTCGTTCCTCACCCCTCCCTGTCTTCAACTCGACCCTCGACCCCGACTGGCTCTCTGAGTGCCTGTAACAAGCCAGATCTCTGTCACCGAGAGCCTTCTGAACACAGATCCCTCTGATTAGTTCACCCAGACCCAAGACAGTTTGTGGAACGCCCAGATCACAACCAAAGTCATAGCAACAACTCCCGTTTATTGGCGGCCTCCTTGATCCCGAGCGCTTTCTGTGCATTCTCTTCCCACCCTAACGGCTAGATCTCGCCTCGCCATTCCCATCGGAGAGAGCAAGCGGCAGGCTCAGAACAGCGCGATGAGAAAGCCGAGCCCCCCAAAGCCCGAGTGCAGACGCCTACCGGGGACAGCGTTGGGTGGGGCGGGCCACCCAAGGGGCGGGGAAGAGGAGGCCTGGAACGTCTGAATCGGGAACTGCGACTTCGCTCCGGGCAGCTGGGGTGGACGCGCGCGAGCCTGCCCCCTGCGGGCCTGGAGGCCCAATCCCAGGCTCCGCCGGGCCCGTTACCCTAGGCAACGCCGCGCGCGCCCCGCCCCCTCCCCGCCCCCCAGCCCCAAACCCCAGGCCTGACCGACTGCCCGTCACCCCCACGTCCGACCAATCCCGCCGAGGAGGGGGCGGGCCTCTTGGGTCCCGTTCCACCACCGTCGCTCGTCTCCTCGCCGGGACCCCGCCTTACTCGGCTCACACCTCCCGCCCTTCGGGCTGCCCTCGCCGCCCGTTGGCTGGCGCGCCGTTCGTCACCCAGGCGTGAGCTAATGCCGGCGCGCGGCGGCCCCCGTCGGGGCGGGGCCAGGGGCGGTGACGCACGGCGCGGTGACGCAGCGCGACGGCGGCGGCGGCGGCGGCGGCGGCGGTGGTCGGTGCGGGAGGAGGGAGGGGAGCTTGCGGGCCCGAGAGGGGGCGACGGCGGCAGCGGTGGCCTGAGGAGGCCCGAGCGGCGGCGGTGGTGGCGAAGGCCGAGGCGGTGAGTCTCGGGCCGGGCCGGCGCGGGGCGGCGGCGGGTCAGGGCGCGCGGGGCTCCCCTCAGGGCGACCCAGGCCGCGCGGGCGGCCCCGCCCCCTCAGGGACCCCGAACCGCGGGCGGCGGCGGCGGGCGGGTGCGGAGCGCGGGCTTCGGGGGTCGGGCCCACGGGAGAAGCCCCGCGCCCGTCCCCAGTCTCCCTCCTGGGCCCTGGCAGAAGCTTCTCTCCGAAATCCTCCCCGTGCCCTCGGGATTGCCGAAGGGCCGGGCCGGGGGCCCCTCCTCAGGACCCCACGCACATCCTCCTCGGAGAGCCCCGGAAACCCTGCCGAGCCCCCGTGTGCGCCCCGAAAGGTCCCTGCAGAACCCACCTCTCCCGTGGAGCCGCCTCCCCGAGCCCTTCGAGGGTCTCGGCAGCCTTCCTTGCAGACCCCCACTCTTTGGCCCCGAAGCCCCCGTCGTCCTCCTGTCTCCAGAAATAGTCCTCGGAGGCCATTCCTCGTCCATTCCACAGCGTGGCTCTCATAGCTGCTCCGGGAGCCTTCCTCACGAGCTCTGCACACCTCTCCAAGGCTCCCTCCGGACCCCTGTCCGTTCCAGAACTCTCCCCCAGAGCCCTGCCTCTCACAGCCCAACAGGCTCACCCGACTTCCCCCTCCCAGATCCTAAGAATTTTTCCTCCTACTTACCCTATTCCAGAAACCTCCTTGGAGATTTTCCGCTCATACCCCCTGCATTTCTGAGTCCCCCTCCCAGAAGTCCTTCAGAATGCCCCCGAAGAACCCTGATCATCTTCCCTGAAGATCTCCTTCCCATATTCCCAAAATAAATCTTCCTCACAGACTTTCTGAAATGCCCCCAGATCCCGAAAACTCACCTGGAAGACCCCATCCCACTCCCCACCATATTGCAACCTTCTCTAATACACACTCCCCCTTCACGTATCCCTCTGGATCTTTCCACAGATCCCAAAAGTCTCCCCCAGAGGCCTCCTGTCTCCCCCTGGTCTCACCACCCTGAAGTGCCCTAGAGATCACCCTCAGGTAGCCCAACCATCTTCCCCGGGACCCCCTTCCCCACCCCCACTCATTCTTAAAGTCTCCAGCGATTGCCTGAAATCTCCAGAGGACTCTCAATTTCATATTTCAAAAGCTTCTTCCAAAACCCCTTTTACATACTCCACATATTTTCCAGTCCCCCACATCACACGCTCCAAAAATGGTTTAAGGATCCTGAAAACTTTCCTCATGGTTTATCTCTCAGATCCCCTAGAACTCCCCTTCACTTACACTTCAGAATCCCCCCTTGCAGACCGGTTTTAGAGGAATTTTCTAAAGATCCTCCTCACAACCCCTGTAAGACCGTAAGATTCTCTTGGTGACCCCTCTGAGATGCAGGTTTTCAGGACCCCCCCCCCCACACACACACACACACAGCTTAGAGACTCCAGCAAACCCCTGGAACCCTCCTGATGTTGTTCTTGAAATCCCTCCAAGACCTTCCTGACACCCCCAGAACCCCTTGAATCAATACTTCTGCCTTACTAAGGGACTTTTCTGGAGATGTCACTCCCTGAACTTGCTCACACAGGTCCCCTAAATCCTCTAGAATCCCCTGAAGAAGACCCTCACACACACCTAATTTCCCCCCAAAATAACCCTCTGAGCTCCTGCTCTGAGAAAGTCCTAGAATTCTTTCTGAAAAACCCACTCCTCTGACACTCAGAAGACCCCGCCTTCCCCATGTACTCTTTTGGAGACTTTACTCAGGTTTCTCCTCAACTGAGATCTCTGAAGAGTTTTTCCTAAAAAGATCACTCTGTCATCCCACTCCAGGACCAGTCTCAGAAGACCACACCTTCCTCAGACACTCTTTAGATAATTTTCTTACAAATTGCCCTCCATCAACCACCCACTCCTAGCGCTTCCTGAGACTTCCTCAGAACTTTCCCTCAGATTCCACTTCTGACATCCCCAAGAAACATTATTCAGTACCCTATCAAATTTACCCCCTCGCTTTAGAATTCCTATTTACACCATCTCATTTCCCCATTCTCTTTCCTCTGAAGTCAACTCAGAGACCTTTCTCAGGGGGCCCCCTTTTCCTAGTATCCCTTCAGAGGCCCCCAACATTCTCCAGACTCGTCACTCAAGAGCCTCTATGTTTCCTTGTAAAGATTCTTGAGAGACACCTTTCCCCACCCCCTTGAAATCCCAATGCTCCAAGACCTTTCTTTCAGACCATTTTTCTCAGGTCCCATCCTCATAGACCCCTCTTCCCTTTCAAGATCAAGAGACACTTAACACCCTCCTTAGAGACAGGATTTTCCCCATTTCCCTTTGAGAAGCCTTCTTCCTTCTCCCCTTTGAGGGCCTCCTCACCAAAGAATCCCTTCCACTATAGCAGTGGTTCTCAAAGTGTGGTTCCTGGCCCAGCAGCAACCACATTTGTTAGAAATACACATTCTTGAGTCCTACTCAGATCTACTGAATCAGAAAACCTGGGAGCAGGGCCCAGCAATCAGAGTTTTTAACAAACAATCCTGGTCATTTTGATGCACACACAAGTTTAAGAACCTGTGCCGGCCGGGCGCGGTGGCTCAAGCCTGTAATCCCAGCACTTTGGGAGGCCGAGACGGGCGGATCACGAGGTCAGGAGATCGAGACCATCCTGGCTAACACGGTGAAACCCCGTCTCTATTAAGAAATACAAAAAAAAACTAGCCGGGCGAGGTGGCGGGCGCCTGTAGTCCCAGCTACTTGGGAGGCTGAGGCCGGAGAATGGCGTGAACCCGGGAGGCGGAGCTTGCAGTGAGCTGAGATCCGGCCACTGCACTCCAGCCTGGGTGACAGAGCGAGACTCCGTCTCAAAAAAAAAAGAACCTGTGCCCTTTAAGAGGATTTCCTTTTCCCCACAAAAACCCCCTGAAAGATGCCTCAGGGTGTGCCTCTGTGCCCTACTGCTCACTGCTATTTTCCTGTTTCCCAGGAATCCCCTTTACAAAGTACCCATCCTCCAGAAAGATTTCTTACCTACCTTGAAAGGATCTTGGCTTCTTCACAAGGTTACTCCATCCTCTGAGCAGTTATTTCCCATTCTACTTTTGAATGGTTTCTTTTCAGATCTTCCTCGGTGCTTTCTCTTTCTGGCTATCCCTGCAGCCCACTCCCAGCCTTTGGTGCTTCTTTAAATTGCTGCTTCTTTGAACACACATGTCCATCTCTTCTTGTCCATCCGTTTCTCCACATAGGCATCCTCCCCTTGAGGCACCCTCAGGAGGTCTTTTCATTCTGTGTCTTACTGCCCAGACCCCTCCACCCCCATTGTACCTCTTAGAACACCGCTCACCTTCAACCTTGTAGTTTTTAATGTACTTGCCCACTCACCCTTACTGGACTAGGAACTCTGAAAGTACGCGACGTGTCTTGTTCTTTGAATCCCACAAGGTGGAATCTACCCTTTATAAGTTACTGGAAATCACTAGAGAATAAGCAGCTCTTCCTTCTGCATTGGGTCAGAAATCTCCAAGTTTCTCAGATCTCACTCCTCATTCAGGTTTAGCACACTCTCCCTGCCCCCTCCTCTCCTCTCACCTCCCTTTTTATCTCCACACAGCACCCTTTGCCTTTCCCCCTGCCATACTTGCTCCTGTCTTTGGGACTTACTTTGTGTTGTTTCCTGATTCTGAGCTACCCCAAGTCCTTTGCCTGGTGACCTGCCTCACCCTGTCCTGGTTGACTTCTCTTAACAGCCCCTATCAGCTGCTAAGTCTGGGGCCTCCACAGAGCTCTGAACTTTTTTCAAGGGATTCTGTTTCTCTCTAGGGCCCAGAAGGGGAAACAGAGACCCCAGGGTAAATACTGCCTTCAGGGAACTCATAATACCAGTAGGGGGCTTGGGCATGTACAGAGCAGAAAATGAGGTACAAATTATATGCTGTAGAAATTCAGCGGTGAGAGGGAGCCCTTTATTTGGAAACTTCACAGAAAAGGTGGTATTTGGGCTGGATAGTGTTCCCTGGGAGTTGGGACAATCATGGTGCCTTAGAGGCAGAGGAAACAGCTTAAGCAATGGATCAAAGACAAGAAAGCCTCCTGATCTGTCACGCATGGTATCTCTTCTCTTCACCCAAAAGATAGAGATGAAAGAAGACAGATTTCCTCTATTTGCATTGTATTTGCCAACTGCACTTTAGTGACCTACAGAGTAGTAATAATAATGACCACTGGTTTTTGAATGCTTGCTAACTGCCAGGCACTGTTTAAGCACTTTACAGGTATTCATAGGAACCCTATGAGGTAGGTAAACTACCATTATCCTCATTTTGCATATGATGAGATTAAGGACAGGTGGGACTAATAGAAGGTCTGTGGGCACTGTCCATTCCAAGATGGTAGTGCCTTGGGTCAAAAAGTTGAATTTTTAGTTAAGATAGGTTTGGCTGCAATGGGGTTGTAGTTGTTAGGTATGCAGACCCTGGGTCTGGACAGGATTTGCGTCCCAAGTTACCACTCACCAGTTTTGTGCCCTAGGACAAGTTACTTCTCTGGTCTTTTAGTTTCCACAGCTAAAAAAAAAAAAAAAAAAATGAAGGAAGTAACGATACTCTACTTCATAGAATTGTTATGAGGATTAAATAAGTTAATACATGTAAAGTACTTAGAACAATGCCTTGCCCGTAATTGCAATGTTAGAAGAAAAAAAAAAAAAGAAAAAAAAAACTCGTAGCCAGAACTCTAAAAACATAAAGTGATAGAACCTTAACTCAAAGTAGTTTAAGGAAAAAAGCGGGGGATTAATTGGCTCTTGTTACTGGAAAGTCCAGAGCTAGGTTGGCTTCAGGCCTACTGCATCCAGGTGTTCAAATAATTTTCTCAGACATCTCCTCCCATTTCTCCACTGAGTTAGCTTCATCTTCAACAAGCTTCTGCTTTGGGTAACAAAGATGGTCCCAGCAGCCCTAGGTTTTAACCCTACCTCCTTGGAAAGCCTTAGTGGAAAGA